CAGCAGACAAATGGGTTTTGTCAACAGGAAATCGAGGTGTTAAAGCTTAAACCCCGATGCCCTGGGTGCTCTTCACACTCTGGAAAATTTTGAACCTTGGGAGACATCCAGATGCTCTGTCCTGAGCCAGGTGGATCACAGTGCCCTTGCTCCCTCCTTGCAAGCTCTGGGCAGCTTGTACCCTTTAAAGACCTACTTCAGGTAGGATAACTATGAATGAAAGTTCCTGAAAAGAAGCTGTGTCTGGGTATGAACAAAAATCTCCCGGAAGCAGTCTGTGTCCACAGAGACTGATGGACTGGTTGACATTTCATTGCTGTGGAGAGACTGGAATTTTGTAGATCCAGAGGCTAGTTACCTTATCTTGGTTCTAGCCTTCTGAAACAGCCATGCCTTTCCCCACTCTGTATCTAAGGTAACACCTCATGATAACAAATAAAAAAGAAAAACCCTTTAGCATCTATTAACTTAGCCGAACACTAGCTTCTTCCAATCTGAGAGCTAAGAACATCTTGAGATGGAATCCTAGGCATATAAAACAGCTCCCTATCTCATCATACCCTCCCCTCTGGTGTACCCACAAATGCATTTTAAATTTGCCCTGATTTATGACTTTCTTTGTTCTGTAAAACTATAAATACTTCATGAACTGCATCCATATTGAAACATGGAATTTAGGGTAACTTACATCTATGTTCCCAGGCCATGGTCACACATAACGGCTCCAGAATGATCTCTTGTTCCCTTTCAGATGAGAGCTGTGGTTTTTATGTAGATATATCTTAAATGGTGAAATTTACTTTTCAGGTTCTGGAGTCTGGGAAATCCAGGATTAATTTGTTTTCTGGGGAAGGCCTTCTTCCTGGCTTCTATACAGCCACCTTGTCACCGTGTCTCCATATTGAGAGGGAAAATGAACTTTCTGGTGTCCTTCTAACAAGAGCTTTTGTCTCTCGTTAGGCTGCTAGCCTATGATCTTCTTTAGCCCCAGTTACCTCCTTAGAGACTCTATCTCCAAACACAGTGACAGTCAGGGCATCAGTCCATGAATGTGACTTTGGAGTGGGGAGTAATTCAGTTCATGGCAGCATTGTTTCCCAAAGTCAGAGCTGGATCAGAGGGACAGCTTTGAGGAGCAGAGGAGGTCCTGAGTGAGTGGATATAGTGAACAAAGTCCAGAGTTAATGAGCATTGTTGACATGGGCACAGTCATGTCAAGTAACAGTGTCTCAGGCCAATGGGGATTTGGCAAGGCCTTCCCTCAGGGTGAGGCTCAGAGGGATGGCAAAACCTTCCATTGGTCCAGGGACCTCTTACTGATTCCAGCCAAGCCCTCCTCCTGTTGTTGTACATTATAAACATCTGAGGGTCTCAGTTGTTGCATAGTTGGTGTGATCCTATCACAGTGTGTGCAGCCTACCCCAACCCAGCTTTCTGTGTATGTGTCTATCCTTCATTCCTTCACCTCCACAGTCAGGTTTTTAGGACCATGCTGTGAAAATCTCAGTAGAGAGCTGTAGGCAGAGATTCTTTCTTGCCAGCCTGGTACCGCAGTCACCTCAACCCCAAATAAGTACACAGAGACTTAATTATAAAACTGTTAGCCAGTGGCTTGGGCTTCTTATTGGCTAGCTCTGTCTTAATTTTAACTCATTTCTATTAATCTGTGTATTTCCATGTGGTCTTGGCTTACTGGAAAAAGCCTGTAGAGTCCTCTATTCCTAGGCTCTACATGACAACTCTGTCAGCCTACATTTCCCAGAATTCTCCTCATCTCCTAGCCCTGCCTATACTTCCTGCCTGGCCAATCAGTTAATCAGTGTTTTAATCATCAACCAACAAGAGAAACATATATACAAACATATATACAGAAGGACATCTCCCATCACAGAGCTGTTCAGATTGACCAAGAATGATCTTCCTTTTATTAGATAGTTCTTAAAGCAGTAAAGTTCTAAGCCCTGTTCTCCAAGTCATTTCAGAATGAGCTGAGATTGTGAACACAGAGTAGGAAGGATTTGGCAAGGCCTTCCCTCAGGGTGAGGCTCAGAGGGATGGCAAAACCTTCCATTGGTCTCTGCTCCCTGATCCTAGGCTGGATTCAGGGCTTATCTAAATCAGTATTGGTTTATTTCGAGAATTGAGTTTACACCGACTCAGTGTTAGTGTTGTCCACATTACTGAGGTGGGTGGACAAAAATAAGGCCATTTTTTACATCTGTGGTGAAGTCACATGCCCCAAAAAGGAGAGAGAGTGCAAGGACTCCAAATGACTATGGCAAACCACTCTCCCCTGAAGTCCTTGAGCACTTCTAAAATCGGAGTATTTGCCTCTAATTAGCTCTCAGCATCCTTTTGGGATCATAGAAAGGAATGTGTAAATGTTCAAAAACATCCCCACCAAATTAAAACACTACATATTATTTTAGACTATGTTGGGGAAAACTTTGGTGTGTTTAGCAAAATACTCCTTTCCATAAGAGATGAAGGATGCCTTTGACAGTGAGCAACCAGTGGGCACCATTGTCAGCCGCTTATCACAATACACTGTTGGTCCTTTTCAGGGTTGTCAGCTCTGCCATAGCTGGTGAAAGAAGCCTGTCTTTTCCAGTCTTGTCTTGTTTAACACCTTGTTAGCAGTTGCTAACGGCATGGAGCCTGAAATAAAACACAACTGGCAGTTGTTAGGGCTAGCATCCCAGAATTCGCATCATGTGGCTAAGGGAAAATCAGTCTTCTTGAGTATAGATTTATGATGATATGGTTTCAAGTTTTAGAGGAAATAGATACAGACTGTTATTATTTTAATGGTGATACCAGAGAATCAACAGTGTTTCCTTTTATTATACAACATAGTTTGGTGTGTAGCAATCATTTTTTTCATACTCAATGCTTTTGGTAAATATAGATGATATAAACTGGAATATCTAAAGACATTTGCTTTTGTGTTTCATTAATAAAGCAGTTCCAGAACTTTTGTTAGTTCTCTTTTTATTCTCTTGGATCTTGTGTGTGTGTGTGTGTGTGTGTGTGTGTGTGTGTGGTATGCTTGTGTACAGATATGGGCATATACACAGGAGCACAGAGGTCAGGGAAGGACTTTACTGTCTTTTATCACTCTACTTTCCCCCCCTGAGATAGGATTTCTCATTAAATCTGGAAGTCACTGTTTTTTGTTTGCTTGTTCTGGGCTAGGCTGCTGGCCAGTAATCCCCAGGAATCCTCTTGTCTCTACTCCACTGGTGCTGGGATTCCAGCCCACAAGGCTATGGCCAGCTTTTTATGTATGTACCAAGGAACTCAGGTCCTCACAAAAGCTCAGTGAGTGCTGCATACACTGAGCAATCTTCCAGCCCCTGTAATCCTCCATAGTACAGGGTGGTACTAGTAATGATTTCCAAGAACTATGACAAAAAAAAAACCACACACAGAAACAAACAAAAACATCCATTTCTAAACGTACATGAGAGAGCTTGATGGTGCTGCCTCCTAGAAGCAAACATCCCTAAAAGAGGTTAAAAGTGGCCCTTATTCTTGCAAGAAAACCAGAGTCCTTCCCACCAGAGTCCTCCATTAAAATTAGAAATGTCACAAGTCTCATCAGTGACTGTTGACAACCCAACACAGCTAAGGTCCTCCAGGGCTTGGTTGTAAATCACTAGTTTAAAATGCAAAGTTCATATTTTTTTTAATCCACAACACTTACTGTCATCATATTGTAAGATTTATGAAGGTTACATATTAACAGTTTCTTCTTGAATTTCCAGTTTATTAGAATCAGCTGATGTTTTTGCTTTTTATTTTTTAGATGCGGTCTTTCGTTGAGGTCCAGGCTGGCCTCAAACTTCTGCTCCTTTTGCTTCTGCCCTGTGCTGAGATTGTAGACATGTGTCACCATTCCTGGCTAACTGACTTGCTTTGAAATACTTCCGACTTTCAGACCCACTTTTAAGTCTATTCAACCAGAATGTGGGGCAAAAAGTCAATACGATCTATTTTAAAAAATCATAATTTAAGACACCGATATAGTTAGTAGAGGTATGGCAGAGTACACTCTTAAATTTTTTATTATCTCATTTCATATTCATTTTACTAGCATCTAAAATCACACCAGTTTATGGGTCTCATGTGACACCTCAGTAATGTATAGATTGTCACAGTGTTCTTAAAAAGATCATGGAAGAAAGTTCTCTCTAGCCTAAGTTTTGCACAAGTAACTTAATTTTGTTTCCTTGACATCATAATTTATGCCACATATTACTTGTTATTTCTGCACAGACCAAAGCACAAGGCTAGATGTAAATCTTCCTAGCAAATGTTCAGGCAGAAACTCACTGTAGAAGAGTGCTATGCAGCCCTCCCCTCCCCTCCTCTCTTTCTTCCCCTCCTCTCTCCCTCCCCTCTCCTCATCCTCTTCCTTGCTGTCATTTCCTACTTTCTCCCCTAATCTTCCCCTACCAATTTTTAATTCTGTGTTTTGTCCTATTGCAGAAATTTTACGCATTTAATTGAACTCTTTCTGAAACAGAAAGACATAAATCAATGGTTGCTACCCAAATGTTTGTGTGTGTACGACGATAGTTTTTGCACCGAGTTTGTATTTCTGTTTATTATTTTCACAATAGTACTAAAGTTCATAAAGGCTTAGAGCAGAACGGTAGCTAGTAGGGGATGAGGAGTGAGGAAAATAGGAGATAATTTTTATTGAGTATAAAATTTCAATTTCCAGGATGAATAAATTCTCGAGATCTATAGATCTATTGTATTTGAGTATCTAATATAGTACTACATCATATAATTAAACATTTGTTTAAAATAGCATCTAAAACATTAAAAACACCTTTAAAAGTCTTATAATAAATAAAAACACCTTAATAGTGTGGGATGAATTGGCAGAAACCCCAATACAAACGTAGTTGGAGTATGTACCATAATTGCCTCATGTAGATGCCTTATGAAGAGGGTGGATGGATATTATTTGATATTCACAAAGACAAAGACAAGTTTCCACATTTTATTTAGAATGAAATCAGCATGGTAAAAATAAATCATTAATACACATGAAAAAGAATGTAGTTCCTTAACCAAATGAGTTTTTAAAAATTTTTCTATCAAATTCAGCCATTTATTTATTGGCTGATGTCTACACAACACAAACAAATGAGTTTTTAAGGCACAGAAATATGTCCCAGCTGTACCACAGTCTTTTTGACAGCCAGTCACATCTACAGATGAAGTCCATCTTCGAGCACATCCCAGAAAATAAAGCAAGTGACCGGCAGATCCAAGAAAACCATTTACAAACTCAGTTTGCACTTGCTGGAGCAAGGTTGCTTTTGATCCAACTCTGGTATTTCTTAGTCAATAGGGTGTAGATTCCAGGCTTGTTGGCAATACCACATTTATGGCCTCTAGAGACTATGGCATGGAAGACACCTTTGCAGACCAAGGGGCCACCTGAATCTCCCTGGAAAAGGAAAATTGGCAGATACTTAGTGAGAAGCTGGTGAGGGCTCTGAACTTCACTGTTGTTTTCTAGCGTTCTTAACAGCCTTTGGTTTCCTCATGGCCCAGGGTACCCAACACAGCCTCTTACTCAGAATAGGCTTTCTTGTCTGTCTGTCTGTCCGTCTGTCTATCCCTGCTTCTCTCTCTGTTTGCATCTCTGTCAATAACCCTGAATTTGTCTCTCTGCCCATTTTATGTCTTGTTTTCTCTGCCCTATGTCGATGTGCACACCTCCCTTTGGTCACCAGTGGCTTCTGTGCTTTTCTAGTTAAAGAGAAGGCAGACAGAGAGTTTGAAATTATCCACTGAAATGAAATGAGCCTCAACATTGTGAATGTTGACACCAGTGGGCTTGGAACCAAACTGTTGTTGAGACTAGCAGAAAAGAAAAACAGCACGGTAAACGGCATGATGGAAGGAACTATGCCTCCCCTTATTTTTTCCAGTTTTTTTTCTGTTGTTGTTGTTTGTTTTTTATTTGTCACTTGTGCACATTTGAAGATGTCACTGTGTATGTAATCACCTGCTGACTGGGTGATTACATAGGATCTACTCTAACACAGGCAACTGAATTCTGTCATATGCAAAGCAGTCATAGAGGAGATGGTGTGGCCTTTTGGTCAAAGAATTGGCTTTCAAATATGAGGACCAGTGTCCATCTCTGCGGCTGGTCACATGGCCAAGTACGAGACCTTGTCAGGGCTGGTTAGAGATGTTGACCTGGTGAGGAGGGTGGCGGCCTCAGGAAGTCCTAGGGGTGTCATGAACCAATCCAGCAAGGCTTACTTGGGTAGGGTGTGAGTATTAAACTCTTATTTTTAAAAATTAGTAATTGACAAATGGTGACATACTCGGTTCACCTAGTCACCTGCCTCAGTGGACTTCAGTATGGTTCAGTTAGGATCACTGACGGGTGTCAGTCCCTAAGCTGGGGGTGGAACCACAGCCTTTGTCATACACGGTTCAGAGAGGTGGGTGTAGAGCCAATTGCTGAGATTGCTCAGTAGGTAAAAGTGCTTGCCACTAAGCCAATGACCTGAGTCCAGTGCCTGGGACCCACGTGGTAGAAGGAAGGAACCATCTGCTGCAAGTTATCCTTGTTATAGAATTTGTGACTCCTGGGAAAAGAACATAGACTCAATCCAATTATAATTAAAAGATTTATTGATTAAAAAATTAGTAATCTGGGACCAGCCAGATACAGCTCAGTGGGTAAGGGTGTTTGTCACCAAGTCTGATGACCTGAGTTCCACACCCAGTCCCCACATGGTGGAAGGAGGAACTTCCCGCAAATTGTCCTCTGGCCTTCACGTGTGTGCTATAGCATACATTTATGTGCCCATACACATAATAAGTAAATAATCAATATGTAAGAATGACTTAAAATTATTAAGCTATCTAGGCTACCTATTAGTCATCTAAAATGTGTACCTAGTGTTTTCTCACCATCTCTGTACACAAAAGATTCTGAAAGAGAATAACAGTTCCTTTTTGTTAACCAGTCTGTGGTCTGAGTATTTGTGCTCCCTAAACTGTGTGGAGCAATCCAGTCTCCACGGGTTAGTAGTTGAGGTAGGTATTTCCGAAGGTCATACAGCAGGGTTTCTTCTCAATGGGGTTAAAGCCCTGATTTAAAAAAAATGCCCTAGAGACTCCCCCCACCTCGGCCAGGAGGTTAGGGTAAAATCAGACAATCTATGGAGTAGAACGAGACACCAAATTTGCTACCATCTCGATGTGGACTTTCCAACTCCCAGAAGAGTGAAAAATAAATTCCTGTGGGCTTTATGCTATGCAGCTTGCAGCATTTTGTCTTAGAAGTCCGTGTTACTTAAGAAACATGCTGTACTTTTGAGTGTCTGGCATATGTGTCTTTTCAGTCCTCCAGTGATCTCTTTAAAAGATGGTTCTTTTGGGGGGTAAGTTGCCTTCCACTTGTGACCTCAGAGCTGGTAGCCTTCCTGAGGATGGTAATGGCCGCCAATGGACACCCGTAAAGATACAGTCTGGTGTCTGACAAACAAGCATGTAATGAGAGCAGCTTAAATGCTGGAGAAGTTCACAGTGGCGGATAAATAAGAGCAGAAGACACTGCAGGGGTGGACAGTGAATTTTCAGAACTATGGCCTCCTATTCTCCCTGCCTCCCCTCAGGACCAGATAATTCAGATGTGACTGCAGTTCAGTGGTCATCAAAGTCAGAGACACCACTTTGAACGAGGATGCTTGTAGTTGGTTGGTTTTTTTTTTTAACTCTTTGAGGGGCCTGTCACTCACTCAGTTCCCAAATAAATACACACGGGGTCTTATTCTTACTTACAAATGTCTGGTCTTAGCTTGGCTTATTTCTATCCAGCTTTCTTATCTTAAATTATCCCATCTATCTTTTGCCTCTGGGCTTTCATCTTTCTCTATTTCTGTACACCTCATTTCTGTGGCCTGCTGTGTAGTTGGGTGGCTGGTCCCTGGAGTCTTCCTCTCCCTCTCTTTCTTGCTCCTCAATCTCTCTTCCCAGATTTTGCCTCCTTTTCATTCTCCCTGCCTGGTAACCCTGCCTATCCTTTCTTCTGCCTAACTGCTGTCATTCTGTTCTTTATGAGACCAATCAGGTGTTTTAGACAGGCAAAGTAGCACAGCTTCACAGAGTTAAACAAATGCAACATAAATGAATGCAACAAATGTTCCACAGCAGGAACAAATGTAACATACCTCAAAATAACATTACACAACAGATGCTTACCTGGCAGGAATCCTTTTGGCCTTTGGCATCCCCTGCACATATCATGTCCCTGGTTATAACAGGGTTTCGGTTGTAATAGCTTTGGCTGTTGCAGCGTTTTCTGCTTATGATGCGAACAGTGGCTTCTTGCAGGGTGTCAGAGGGTTTTAACAGATCTGGGTTGGTGGCTCCCCAGCCAGTAACCTGACATTTGGTTCCATCTCTAATATAGTTTTTAGATCTCAGTTGAAGCAGTTGGACATGATTGTTGAGCTCTGCAGCAGTGTGAAGCTGAAAGATAGAAAAATGAGTAAATTATTTGTCCCTAGTGGTTTTCTGCAATTAGACCCCATTTGACTGTGCATTGGATGTGTGGTCCCTCTGTCTCAGGAAGGCATCTCTTTCTCTCGAATGTTCTTTGGTGATGGTCTGCAGCTGCATTTTGGCTGTTGTTTTTTTCTGAATGTGCTTTCCATTCTCCATGGAGCTCATTGATGTTTGGGGATGGGAGCATATACAGAGTAGGAGCTCCACCCAGCCTTGAGCAAACTGGCCTTTGCCCTGCACTGGATGGTTTTCTGTGGAATGACATGTATAGGTCATGACTTTGTGGGCTGGGCTGCTTCCTGCTGGACAGGACCCTTGAGTGTGGTCTAGACTACATTTGGACTGGACAAAGTATGGTCTAGAAATAAGTTTTAACTTATTTCTGACTCCCTGAAGTCACTTGGTTGGCTCCATTACATAAACAACTATTGCAGTTTTTGGTTGCTAATGTGAAAAGCATTTGGGGGAAAAGCATTTCCTGTGGATCCTTGGGGCTGCTGACACGTTGTTCTTCTACACGGTGAGCAGTGCTGTTGGTTTCCCATGCATAAACATATCTCTAATGCATTTGTGACTTTTGCTTTTCTTTCAGGGGAGTATATGGAGTAACACAGTTACCTCAAACCTGGGAAGGGTGCTGCCAAGTGCTTTCATGTAGTTAATTAACTGAGTGATCCTGTATGAGAATACTGAAGAGATGGAGGGAGGCAACTCTACCTACCTTTATTAGCATGATATCATGTGATGTGAAACCTGACGGAGACCTTGAGAATGGGATGAGTCTTTTAATCTTAATCGTCTGTTTCGTGGGTTCATTCTTTGAAAGAGAATGTGCTCCTAAAACCACCATGGGAGCGTGGCTTCTGGGAAACCTAAAAGAGCAAAGAAAATGGAGGTAGCACAAGGATGTCCAAACCCAGTCAGATCGGGAGGTGCTGGGAGTCACACGCACTGCACGAAAGACCAAGGACAGACTCCGAGGGGACCTGCTGAGGGCCAGGTGAAGAGTTGGAGGCCCAAGAGGATCTCATCACACACCACTGGCTTCTCCGTCAGTGTGCTTTGTTTCTAGAGCTGCCACATCTTCCCAACAATGACAGGTGTTTAAATGAATAAGGCGGGGACTCGGTTGTCCACTGGCTCATCTGTCTGGGGAGATTCAGCTTGGGGAAGCATGAGCCTATTACAGAGCAACCAAATGCAGGTGAGTGATTACATTCATAGCCAGCGGTGACAACAGAAATGGTTTTGTTATGGGGAGTTTTGGGCATGTTGGAGCCATTTGTGTATTACAGATGTTCCCTATTGTAGTATATTTATGAAAGTCATTTCAAATAATTTCTTAGAACAAGGATGTGCTAAAAAAATGACCCAGAGATGTAGCTCTGTGGTAGAGTGCTTGCTCATCTTCCACAACCTTCCAAACAAACAAAAAACCAAGAAAAAAGAACAAAGAAAAGAAAGAAAATATATGTCAGTGTAATTCCCGTCATGGGAGGCAGAGGCAGAATTATTACACATTGCTGTGAAACCCAACCGGGTTACATAGAAAAGTCTTGTCTTAAAAACCAAACAGAAAATTGTATTTATCAGTGCTGAAACTCCATCTTTTCTACTAGAAAAAGGGATCAAGGGATCAAGGCAGGATACAGCAGAAACGCATACACTGATACATACAGATTTGTGTTCTTAAAAATCAGAAGGGGCACAGGAATGTAAAGCAAACGAAAGGAATGGCTGTGTCAGGTTCAGAGAATGCACAGGTGACGTGACTGCAGTGGAGAGGGCATGCACACATGACTGCAGTGGGGAGAGAATGCACACATGACTGCAGTGGGGAGGGCATGCACACGTGACTACAGTGAGGAGAGAATGCACACGTGACTGCAGTGGAGAGGGCGTGCACACGTGACTGCAGTGGGGAGGGCGTGCACACGTGACTGCAGTGAGGAGAGAATGCACACATGATTGCAGTGGAGAGGGCGTGCACACGTGACTGCAGTGGGGAGGGCGTGCACACGTGACTGCAGTGAGGAGAGAATGCACATGTGACTGCAGTGGGGAGGGCGTGCACACGTGACTGCAGTGGAGAGGGTGTGCACACGTGACAGCAGTGGGGAGGGCATGCACACGTGACTGCAGTGAGGAGAGAATGCACATGTGACTGCAGTGGAGAGGGCGTGCACACGTGACTGCAGTGGAGAGGGTGTGCACACGTGACAGCAGTGGGGAGGGCATGCACACGTGACTGCAGTGAGGAGAGAATGCACATGTGACTGCAGTGGAGAGGGCGTGCACACGTGACTGCAGTGGGGAGAGAATGCATAAGTGACTGCAGTGGGGAGGGCATGCACATGTGACTTCAGTGGGGGGGTCTGCATGCGGCAGACCTATGGCTGCCTGGAATTGCCACTTCTAAGTGTCTATCAAAAGAACTTATTTTGGGAATTCCAGCTCTATTTGTTGAAAAGTTTGCCTATTGCGAAATCAGAATGGAGATGGAATTTCTGAGGACATGGATTAGATTTCCCAGGACTGATTCAAATTCAAATCAACATGCCCACTAAACCCAAAGCTCTGGAGAGCTAGGATACAGAAGTCCCCAGGATCAACACTGGACAGGAAAGTGGGTGTGTCTGCCAACAGCCTTGCAATGACAGCTGTGAGGTACAAACACCGCTGGGGAAGGTAGGTGCTGACCAAGGGAGAAGGCTGAGATTCCTAACGCTCTCCTCTGCTACCCAGTCTCTTGACTAGCTATTGACTTTGAAATGCCTGGGTTATTTTTGTCTCCACTGGGACAGGCTAATAAACCCGTACAGATCAATATGCTCAACTGCAATCTATCCCATCATGGTCAAGTTTTCTGTCCATGGAGTAAAGGAAATCACCTGGATTCTACCTCTTTAAAATCTTTTTTCTTAAACACACACACACACATACACACACACACACACACACACACACACGTGTGTACTATGGAGTGTGCATGGAGGTCAGAGGACAGCTTCCAGGAGTCAGTCTCTCCCTCCACCATGCGGGTCCCAGGGACAGAGTTCTGGTGGTCAGGCTTGGTAAGTGCCTTTACTTATTAAGTCATCTTACTGGACTGTATCTCTTCATCTGAATCCCACAGAAGAGAAGTAATAATGCCAGGCCCATGCATTTGCACATCACAGGGGTTTTCTAACAGTGGCCATAAGCTTCTGGAGGTGTTTGTATGTAGTTTCCTGAGTCCCACCCTGACTGCCCTGTCATGGAACTCCATGCAGAGTAGAGCCATGGTATTGCTTGTAATACATTTCTTCTCTTTCACAGTCTGCTGAAGATGGCTGCTAATACCGCCTTAACGGAGCCTAACCTCCTCAGTCCTCACAGTCCTCAAGGTCCACATTCCTCATCAGTCCTCTGACTGGTTCAAGGTGACCCATCTCACACATAGAGGACACGGGACCCAAGCTCAGGGGTCGTGTCCCAAGTCTAGTACTGACTCTTCTTTTGTCTTGTGTCAAGTTCCCCTAGCATCTTGCTTCTCTGGCCAGCCTGTCTTGATGCTAAGCAGAGCCCCTGCTAGACCCACTCCTGAGGTCTGGCATCAAAGGCAGGGAGGGTTCCTATTTCTTGGAGTCTTTCTTGGCTCAGACAGAGAAAAGTTGCTGGCTGTCAGAAAGCAAAATATTCCCAGTCCCATCCCATCCACACAAGTGGGCCATCATGTTTACCATGGAAGGCTGCGATGACAATATAACAGTACTTGGTAACATGCTAAAGTCTTGTGCTACGCACCATGATTTTCATTTATTTCCTTCACTGAAGCAGAAGCCCAATGAGGTGGGCATGAAGATGGTTTGGGCTGGGGATGTAGCTCAGTGGTAGAAGAGCACTTGCCTAACAGGCACAAGGCCTGAGGTTCAATCCTCAGCACCACAAAAACGAAACAAAAACCAGTTCCATTGGTTCGCCTCTGGAGCTTGGTGGAGTAGGCTGTGTGAAAGAGCTGTAGAGGGTTCCATTGAATAGCTTGCTCAGGCAGGAGAGAGGGAGAAGGGTGCAGAGAGGGAGGGGAGTAAATAAAAGGACCAAGAGTTTTGCTCTTGAGAATTTAAAACATTGAAAAGTAGACAACGCAAGAGTATATTTTTTTAAATGTATTTTCTTCACCTTTCTATCTTTCTTTCTTTCTTTGTACACAGGCTCTTCCTAGATATTCTTGGTGAACCTCAAACTAGCAATCCTCCCGCCCTGGCCTTCAGAGTGTCATCATACCCGGCATCCATGTTCTTTTATATTTTATGGGATAACTGCCAAGGCACTAAGGGAGAATAGACTAGATGGGTGGTGTGTGTGTGTGTGTGTGTGTGTGTGTGTGTGTGTGTGTGTGTGTGTGTGTGTGTGAGAGAGAGAGAGAGAGAGAGAGAGAGAGAGAGAGAGAGAGAGAGAGAGAGAGTCTTCCCCCCACATTTGGCTCTCTCTGTCACTGTGCTTAAAGGGATGGCTGGCTTAGTAAATTGTTCCCTCAGGATCCTTGTGAGCACAGTTGTGGGAAGCCACCATTGAACTGTTTCATAAATATTTTGAATTTCATAAGGCTTAATATTTTTCCAAGCACTGATCTGCCTACATTTTTACACCCAAATGTCCCCTGGAGGAAATTTGATCCACATATTTCAGAGTCGTTTATATGCCAGCCATTTAAAATGATATTTAGCAAGAATTTTTTTTAAAGCTCCAAGACATTTAGAAAAACTCCAAGACCTCTCTTCAGTTGTCTCTCCTCCTCTCTCATTCCCTCACCGCATCTCTCCTTTCCCTTCCTATTGCTATTGTTATTATTATTAACAATCTCCTCCCCCAATTTGGTATACACTTTTTTGAGTTAAATCCATTAGATGAATTTAAAAATTTAAATTAATATTATCTACCTTCCTGCTGGGACTTCATGCACCATGCACCATGTTTCAAGGTTGGCTCCTAATCCAAATCTTCTATTTTGTTTACTCTTCTCAACAGCATTTGCTGAACATTTTTACATTTAGCTCCTTGTCTGGTGAGGTGTGAGCACCATAAACATATTTGCAGAGACACAAACTTTGTCTTGAATTAAATTTGCTAGTGATGTGGGAAGCAGACAAAAGTGAGGGGGTGTATGGTGAGTAAGGATATGAAATTGGAATCCAGCAACCTGCTCGTTAGAAACCGAAGCAGTATCTTCCAGAGGGGTTCCATTGAAATGTGCCAGCCAGACAATATCCCCAAAATCAGTTCTGTTGTTCTGTTTAGATGGTGTTGATGTCAAGAAGCTTTGGAAGCTAAGATACACTCTTTTTTTTTTTTTTGAGACAGTGTCTATTTTTCCCTGGTTGGTGTGGACTAGGCTGGCCTTTAACTCACAAAGATATTACTGCCTGCTTTTGCCTCCTGAGTGTTGGGATTAAAGGTGTGCACCACTATGGCCAGCTAGCTTTCTAAACATTAGATTTACTCATTTAATTTTATGTGTGAGTGATTTGCTTATATATATGTCTGTGTACCACATACATGCTTGCTGCCTGCAGAGATCAGAAGAGGGCGTTGGCCTCCTGGAGCTAGAGGTAAGTGAGCTACCATGTGCGTGCTGGGAATCAAACCCTGGGTTTCTGCAAGAGCAGCAAGTGCTCTTAGCACCGAGCCATTTGTCCAGTCCCTAGGACATGTTCTTAAGTGAAGGGCTGCACTGTTGAAAGAAAAAGAGAAGGCGACCAGGGAGCCAGGCAAGAAGCTTAAAGAACCAAACATGCAAACAGAAGAAACAAAAGCAGAAACCTCAAGCAAACATCGTCGGCTCTCCCCTGACTATCTTCTCATTGTTGTCCATGGTCAGAAAAGCTTCCCTTTAAATATCCCCACCCCCAATAACCTGCTCTGTGTCCCTTTTTATAGAGCCTCTATAATTGTTTTCCTCCAAGAGAAGTCTTGTCTCTACCTGTTGTGACTGCCAAAGTGTGTGTCTAGGGTCAAGCATAAGTCTGACAACTGAAAAATCTGTAAACCCACTGCAATACATTTACTAACAGTGTCGTCTGCAATGTAACTGCACGTACTAGCTGTGTCAAATATTCTGTATACCTAAATAAAAACACCAATTCTCAAAACCCCCTCTTGTACACAGGCTTCCTTTCAGCAATTTCAGTTGCTTGTGGTCAACTGCTGTTGAACACTACATGGAACATTCCAGAGATAAACAATACACACATTCTAGATAACTTACTAGAGCAGGTTGTTTTAATAGTTCTCTGTTATCACTGTTGTTAATCTTACTGCACTCAATTCACTGGTTAAACTTTATCCTATGTGTGTTTCTCTTCCTAGTCATGGAGAATGACGTACATGGAAACACATGGGGGACTCACCAAGAGTAGCAGTGAGCTGCTGTTAACACCCACTGCGGATGGATCAGGACTCCTCCGCAGATGTGATTGCCATGGTACTGGATGGAAGCCATAAACGGCCTGGAATGTGGCTGTACTTCTCTCCCTCCAATAATCTCAGTACGGAAACCTGTAAAAGTGAGCGGAAAGATGTCACGTGATCCAGCAGTGGCATCTAACACTCCCGATAGCAGGCACCGTTATTACTATACTCTTCCAAGACCGATAAGACAGAAATGCTACCCAATCATTACTATACTTTCCCTGGTTAGCAGTTGTAGAAGCAGAGACAGGTGAGAGGGGAAAATACTGCTACTGTGTAACAACGTAATCACTAGAGATGTCACATCGTATTCACACATGGCAGGAGCAGGAGATACTTACACTCCGAGGACAGATAAAGCCCAGCTGTCAGGAAAAACGGAGCAAATGAAGAAAGCTTCATATTTGCAGTGCTTCAGCGCTAAGGAGCTCGGATGAACTGCTTTGCGCTGTGGCTGATGAAGAAGATTCTGGAGATGGGTGGGTTTTCTTTCTTCTTTTCTTGCAAGTTTCTCACCTCACCTGCTCCAGAGGTTAGAGTTTTCACACCCAAGTTTTCAAAGTCTGAATCAGTTTGGGGAGTTTCAGATCTGTGCTGCCAGTGTGCAGTGAAGAACTCATTTCTGGATGAGTGCTCTTGGTACAAATACCCAAGCCATAAGGCCCCAGTGAATTGTAGACAGCTTAAAGATGGTCCTTGCTCTAAAGTAGTGGTTCTCAACCTGTGGATCGCAACCCCTTTGGGATGGCACAGCAGATATATACATTATAATTCATAACAGTAGCAAAATGACAGTTATGAAGCATCAATAAAGTAATTTTATGGTTGAACTCAGCACAATATGAGGAACTGTATTAAAGGGTGGCAGCATTAGAAAGATTGAGAACCACTGATCTTAAGTAATACTTATGTTTTCCCTGGCATGAAATGGTGCCTACCATGCTGAATTCCTCTCACTTTTCACTCATGCATAGATTTATAAAGGAGAGACACATGGCCTTGCACAGATCCTAGTGGCTCTACTGTGTGGCTTAATTGCAGCCTGAGTACCACCCAGAGAAATCCATACATTTCACAGCGAGCACATTCCTTGTCTTGCCATTTTCTTTAAACGTGACCAGATTTGGTTAAATTTTAGTTACATTTTTTGGAGGTTTAATAATGTTATTCAAGGGGAATATTGGCAACACATTTTTTTTATTCAAACTCTCTTTGACTCAGTTTTAATTGAAAATGACCGCATGTTTATCCAGGGCCATAATAATGTCTTTTAAACATCAAGGACTGTATTTCGTCATTCTTCCCAGGAACAGATGGCAACACAATGCCAGGCCTTTTAGTGGACCTTCTCTTGACCAGACTCAGGGTTCTGCAGGGTTCTGTCCACACTGATTACACAAGGACATACATTATAAAGTGAATATGAATGCAATAGACTAGGCACGAGAGCCCCAATGTTTTCCAGAAATACTTACCGAAACTTGCATAATTTTTAGTTTAGTTTTTATTTTTTTAAAAAGAATTAAAACCAAAACTATCATGCATAGTAGATGGCAAGTGAGTCCTACAAAATTTTTTTGGCAAGAAAATAGGAATATAATATTATCTGCTATACAGCATAATTAAATGATATGCAAGTTGAAAGTCTTAAGTTATTTCCAAAATTCTCTTTACACGATCATTTATATCTTCGTGTCTCTATCTGTGAGGAAGGCAGGCCGCACTTATGTTTATGCTACAATTGGAGAGAGAAGCTCAGAGAGGTTCATTTGCCCAAGGGCACAGCATTGGAACTGAGCCAGCTCTCATGCCTCCCCTGCAGGAACATGGACATTAATACGCATATGTCAGAACACAGCACTGAGTAAATAGTGCCCCATTTTCGTTTTACAAGGGTGCAGCCACAGCAAAGCTGTCCAAATACTGAACAAAACAAACAACTCACACTCAGGGCAGTGACTTTCTGCTAATGAGAGGAAAAGGTGAGAGAGTGGGAGCCAGCTGGAGAAAAGCCACAGGCTTACCTAGCCCAACCTGGTAGTACCACCCAAATGCCCCATGAGCTGTCTGTCTGTTACTGCTCATGTACTCTCAACAGATCCCTTGTGTGCCATTTTACCAAATTGCCAGGTAGGCATGATCTTACCTGCTCTAAGAGGTAATGATGCTGGGAGCAGAAGGCCAGTGACACGTAACGGTGATTTGAATGTAAGGCAGAAGCAAACTGTAGAGGACAGTTGTAGTATGTTGTGGTTGAAACATCACGTCTGGCTTACTTCTCTATAGTAAGGACTCACAATTGCATAGCTTTTATTGAGGATGCCTAAACATTTTCAGTTGTATTTCCAGAGAGGTGGCTGTCCTTTGTCTTGTTCTATGGATGGAGAAACTGAAGCGGAGACTGTCTAGATCACCCAGCTAGCAGATGCTCCTAAATCCTTCAGACTTCACGTTTCCTTCAACCGGACCACACTGTCTGCCCTGCTCCCTCTGAGAAGCCTGATTTAGACACTTCAGGAGGCAGGCTGGCCATGCAGAAGGGAAAAAGGATTTAGCTTGCACACCGCAATTAGACATGGGTGAGATTTAGTTCAATTGAGAAGAGAGGCTCATAATTCTTTCTTGCAGTTGACCTGGAAAATTCTGAGAATTGCGTTGGTTTATAATAATGAGTTTTTGGGATTTGGCTTTAGACCCCTGTGCTAGTTAATAGAATCATTTGTTATTGTATTTGGGATTCTGGGTTTGAAGATAGTGGGCTGTGTAATATGATGAACTGGGTCATCTCATTGATTTCTGGGTGTTGGTCTTTGCTCTGTTGAGTCTGCTGCAGGGAGAGCTGTGTTTGCTTTGGATAGCTTTTACAACAGCTGTACTAGTCTGAGCAAGTGCACGGTGCTCAGCCTGCGACTGGCTCCTTATGTCGCATCAGCATCCGGGCCTTGTGGGTCTCTGCTGTGGCGGTTAGCTGTCCCTGTGAGCTGCACTGAGAGATGTTTTTGACACTCCTGCTTTTTAGGAGAACCTGATAGACCAACTGACCTGAAGCTCTCAAGACCACATGTCTGATTGTCCCTTTGGGGATGTCTTTCATAGCCCAGGCACCTGGGTAGATACATAAGCCACACTCTTTAGGGGCTGAGTCACTTTAAGTGTGACTGGCAAACTTGTGTCAGTCTGAGACCTGCTTATGATTCATTAGGGGATAGACAAGGACAGAAACTGAAAATGAGCATTTGGAAAATTGCAGCAACTCAACATGGCTCTTTATTAATTTTGTAATGAAACACAATTTGTTTAATGTAACAAGAAGTCAGGCAAGTCTTTTATGTGCCTTTGTTATTTGATTGATTGTTCTATTCAATTGTATTGAATAAAAGTGTTAGTCCATGATGGACTAAAAGTAAAAATAAGTTAACAAAATACACACACACACACACACACACACACACACACACACACACACACACACAGCCTTCCCCAGTGTAGGAACCACAAAGAAGCCCTGAAGACATGACTCTGGAGTCAATGAGTGTCCAACCTTTTTCACTGATTTCCTTTCTGTGTCTTTTGCAAAGGTGATTAAAAAAAGAATCATTTTAGTTTTGATTCTGTGAATTTGTATCTGTCTATGTGAGAGGCATATTCATGTGAGTGCAGGTGCTGGAGGAGTCAGAAGAGGGTTCTAGATCCCCTGGAGCACGAGTTACAGGTAGTTATGAGTCACCTGATGTGAGTGTTGGGAACTGAACTTGAGCCCCCTGGAAGTACAGAAAGCTTCCTAATTGTTGAACCATCTCTGGAGCCCCATGTAAAGCAATTACTTTACAATTATTTTCTTATTAAGATGTGGTTTGTGTGCGTGCATAGTCACCTGTGTGCCAGGGCTCATGTGTGGAGGTCAGAGGACAACTTGGACCCAGAAATTGAACCCTTGTTGGGATTGGTAGCAAGAACCTTTACCCACTGAGTTATCTGTACTCCCAACACACACACTTCAGCCTCTTTTGAAAGAATTTCTCATCACTAAGGTGTCCAAGACTTTGTAGCCCTCCCCAGTCTCAGATCCTTGGGATTAGCACATGGTAGTATTTTACTCAGTCCCTCTCTTTGAGCCCACTATCTTTGGGGACTTAGTTTCTGTCTGGTAATAGTTTAACTAATTTGATAAGTGAATCTGCTAGCAATTATGGTGAAACTATGGTTTGGTAATTGGAGTTGGGAAGAACACTGGGGTGCTATATAATACTATGACGTTCAAAGGTCCTAAGAATGTGTAAATCCTGTAGCAGGTAATGGCCATCTCACTCCCACGAGGTCCTTAAAATGAATGACCTTAAGAACAATTGCAAATAGAAACAAAAAACAAAACAGAAAACAGAGGCTCCCTTAGGATCAGAGCTGCACTTTAGCATAAATCAGTGCAGAGAAGTGGAAGACTGCATTGGAGCTTTTTCCTAAGTCATTAGATGTGCCCTCTCTGGGATAGTGATGGTGATGGAGGTGGGATCAAAATGGATTTGTCCTACCTTTCTCTACTTCAACTTTCAATCGGAACACATTTTACACTATTAATTCTCTTTATTTAATATTAAGAATTATTTTCGAATCCGCCACCACCGAGTTGAGAAACACAAGGAACAGTTTAACATCTTCCAGTTCCAGCCCTTTCCCAACTGTGAGGATGAGCACTGCCCAGAGGCCTTGGCTTAAGCGAAGGCCACAGGCAAATGCCCCAAGGACCTCAGGACACAGTGGGGTGTCTGCTGGAAAGCCCCGCCTGGTGGTCCACCATCTCCCTAGTTCTTGATCCAGCCTTGAAGCCGCTGTCTTGTGATTCCTTCTCCTGCTCTTCTTCAGGGTGGCCTTGGATTCCATTGTCTGAGTTCAAATGTTATGGGAGAGATGGGGAAAGTCCCACAGAGGGTGGTCCCTATGATGTCACTGGACCCAAGGCAGGTCACTCACACTGTCTGCAATGTTTTTCCTAAAAGATTTACACATGTGAGAACCCTGTCAGTAGGGATGACTGCCAAAGGAAGGTCAGCAGTCTTGACCTCTCATCCAAACCCTGGCTTTACTGGAACACAGGCCTTGCATAGAGGAAGGTGAGCATGATTTGAGTACAGTAGGGTGTTAGGAAGAAAATGAGGGTCAATATGTAAGAAAAATTAAAGGGAAAAGTATATGGGGGGAAGGACTTAGTGGCTAAAAACCAGAAGAATGTTTACCCTTAGATTCACACATAAGCGTAACTCTCAACCCTTGTCAATGAAGCTGCTTCCTCTTCCTCTTCTTTTCCTCTTCTCCGTCTCCCCCTCCTATTCTTTTTACACCAGATTGAAACCATTGCAGAAAGCTACACCTGGTCAAAATGCAGAGAACAACTGCCGGTCTCAAGTGACAGATCTACAACTCAACCCCTGCTCCCAAGGCTCAGGGCACATGATGGGACGGGATAGAAAGATTGTAAGAGCCGATCTT